GGCAAAATTGTCATATTCCAGGTGCTTACCTTTTTCACTGAGATTAAGGTGTCCTGGCTGCTCACTTTAGGTCTGCTTCTTCCAGTCACAGAAAAGGCTGTAGAGAACTATCAGAAGTGCTCAGTTTTTGCTGGTATTTCACTGCCTTTAGAGCCAGTTTAATGGGGGAAAAAATTCAAAGTTAGGAGAATGGAGCATGTCTTCAGGTTAATTTCTGTATTAGTTTTGAAAATATAAATTATCAAGATCAGTGGAAGCTTTCTAGCATGATCTCCTAACTCCTTATTTTGTTTTAGTCAAAGCCAGAAGTACAGTATGTTCCACAGCTTGATCAGGAAACTGGAGATACAAGAGGATCCTTGTCACTGAGTAAAACAGCCTGTAAGTTGTTCTTTGTGCTTTGCAAGAGTAAATGCAAATGTTCCCTGTTATGCAAAGAAAAAAATAAAGTTACAGGTGGCATATGAAAGCAAATTTTTAGAAAGCTGAAATGTAATTATTTACTGTGTAGAGTGCACTGTGTACACTTGGCATACCCTGTGCTAGAAACAAAGCTCTGCTGGAAATGGAAACCTGCAAGCTGGGGTTGTTTTTAAAAGCTTCTTTTTAGGCTTTGTGTAGACCAACTGTGTGGGCTTTGGGTCTTCCCTTTCCTGGCTCTCCTGACCAGTGTTTGTGCTGTTGTCCCTCAGCAGACAGACGTCCAGGGGGCTCACAGACATTCCGAGGGCTCTTTGAAGAGCGAGCAAACGACAGCTTTTTCAAGTGTCTTTCCATGTACGTATGTTCTGGATGTCTGTACCCACTAGGAGGATAATGGCCTTTCCCCTGTGTGTGTGGAGCACTGTGGCAAGGTCTCAAAGTGCTACGAGTCTGTAGGTTCAGGATGCACAGCAGTTACAATTCTGTATCTCACTGTTAGTGTGACTTTGCTGTACTGGCCCCGTGTTTTCTGCACAGTGTTCTGCCAACTTTGATTTTTCCTTTCCATTTCAAGTGAACAACGTATTGATAATTTCCTGCACTGTTTTTTGAGTATGTTCTCTGAACTGTTTAATCAATACTGTGTTTTGCCTGTTCATTAGCTCTGGATGTGTTTCAGGGCAAAGCACTTCTTTTGTATTTTGTTTTGGGATTGTTTGATACAAAGCCCACTGACATGTCTCATTTCCAGGCTGAAAATACACAATATATATTTATTAGAGCTTTTCTGAAGATCAGCATTTTCTGGTTACTTTCTCTTTAAAAGTTTACACATGAAGGATCAGTGAGTTGGACCCCAAATGTGTCACAAAAAACTGGTTTTAATTCTGTAAACAAGAGGATGCTTAGGGCCCAATAACAGAATCCAGCAACTCTTTTGTGATCCTAAAAAGGCATTAAAGTACCCAGGAGTCTGCAGTGGGCTGTGTAGCTGTAAAAGCAAGAGACTAATGCATTGGCAGGAAAGACAGTCAAAATTGAGCCAAGCTTTTTAGAGGTCTGTTGTCTTGTATTCAGTATATGAAATGTAGCAACATCCTTCTCATTTCAGAAATTCCAGTTGGATTTTAACCACTACACTTGTCCTGTCAGTGTTGGTGCTGCTCTGGATTTGTTGTGCGACCGTAGCTACAGCTGTGGAGCAGTATGTCCCATCTGAGGTACTGCCTTTTATAACTTACAATATTCTGAATTTATTCTTTATATTGCTTTTATGCTACAGCTGTCTAGGGACTAAGAAACATTTGGGGGAAGTTCATCTGGAAAGGGGGTTTTGTTTTTGAGGATGTGGTTAGCAAACCAATTTTGTTTATTTAAAGTATGATTTTATAGCTGAGCAATTCTTGCTCATTCCTGAGGCCCATAGGAGCTCTGAGCCTTACTCAGGCAGCCCAGAGAGGATGTCTTGTAGTGCTCTCCTCTTGACAACTTTCAAATTACTCTTAACAAGTGGAGGCTGATTCTAATTTCTCTGGGAATAAAGCTATTCTGAGGTTTGGGTGGTATAGGTAAAAACCAGTACTGGTTGAATCCAGGAGGATCAATAGTGAGAACAGTGACAGCGTAGTATTGGTGAGTGCAGTGTGTCTGATCAGAGGGGGCACTTTCCTGGTGCCCAGAGAGTCCTGGCTCACAGTATTTGCAAATCAAAGGAGCTGTTACATAAGCACTGTGTCTGCTATTTTTCTGGCAGATTTAATATACTTCTTTTGGATGCAAGTCTAGTTCCAGCCATGAATTTCAGATGTTACAGAAAGCCTGGGTTAGCTTGTGTGGCAGGGCTGCAGCTGTCAGAACCTGGAATGCAGTTGCATAATGAAATTCCTTTTATTCACAGTATGGAGAGTCTTTGTCTTAAAGTTCCTTGTTTAAATATTTCAGAAACTGAGCATCTATGGAGATTTGGAATACATGAATGAGCAAAAACTGAGCAGATACCCACCCTCTGCACTTGTTGTGGTTAGATGCAAGACTGAGGAGCATGAAGAAGCAGGACCTCTTCCTACAAAAGTCAATCTGGATCAATCTGCAATTTAAATAAGTCTCCATTGGATCCGATAGACTAATTTTAACAGAGATAGCAACTCCTGATTGATTGTGGTGGTTCTTCAGATGAGAAGCTTAGCAGCCAGTCTTTAAATGCAAATAAAGTTGCAGAATCAACAAAGGTCATGGGATTTTGTTTTCGACTAGTAGTAAAGATTCAGACATGAATTTGTGTTTGTTTCCAGGCATAATCACTTTTTGCTGGTGTTTGCTATGTGTCTTTTTGCTTACAAAAGCTGTAAGCATGCTTTCCATACTTCTGCCAGGACACTTTCAAACTTACTTGTGTGTTCTAGGATGTAATGTGTACATTCAGAGTTAGCTTTGTAAAGGTATAAGAAATTTTAAGTAGGCAGGAGATGCCTTTTTAGTGTTGCACTTTCTGTTGTAGTTAAGAGAAAATATTATAAAATTATCTGCTGAATTTTTTGTACTTGTTAATGTCCATGCACAAACAACCCTGTCTCCAAAAAACAGAAATATATTTTTTCTACAGTGTGGCAATATTTGAGGTGGAAAGCATTTGTGAGGTACTGTAGGCTAGAACTCAGCTTGTGAAAAATGGAAACTTCATTAAAACTTATGGACATATCCCTTCACATGCAGAGCATAACATGGTCAATTATTTTGTCAAACTTTAGCCTTTAAGTCTTAAATTGCTTGTAAAGTTAGCGCCTGTGTTTTCTGAAAAATTCTACTTTCTGTTCTTGATTAACTGTTCTGGTCTTGTAACTTCATTTACAGAAACAAGTTGATTCCTGAGAAATGAGAGCAGACAAATAAAATTGACTGTATAGAAAATGTTGACTATATAACTTTTTGGTATGGTTAATTATTGACCACAGCAGGCTCGGTATGAGAAGCCTGTCCCTAGCCTTCCTCTCCTGGGCAACGTGACCTGATTTTGCTGTGTGATTCACTAGGACAGCAACAACAACCAACAATGTCCCTCATGTTTCTAATCTGTTGTTTGCAGTTCTTTTCTTTGAGGAGATTGTTAAATGCTGGTTCCCAGCGTTGGCAAGTTGGGGGTGTGGGATTTATTGTAGGGTCTCTGAGTGTTTGAATGCTGGCTAGAATGCGTGGTGCCCGACTCAGTGTCGTTTTCTGTTGATTCTGCAGAACTCCCTCGAAGGTTTTCTAACTGAATAGCTGGTGGAAATGTTTGTAAGGTCTGTTAAAATGTTTCCTTTACTATTACACCTAGTTGCAGAGGGAGTGTTACAGCTCCAAGCAGACGTGGCTGTTTGCCTGTTCCAACGTGGACAGTACAACCTCTGTTACGCTGATGATTTCACAAAACTTTCTCTTCAAAACTTTATTGCTTACAGCCCTGGGCTTAAGTTAAGCAAACAACTTGTGCTTTCATTGGGTGTTTTGTCTTTTGTTTGCTGTTTAATGACATTTCAGCCCAGGGATCTGTGCAGTGCAGCCAGCAATTCAGCAATGTGCTGTTGGGTCACAGAGAGCTCTGTGCCTGTGGCACTCTGGCACTTGGCACTGCTGGATCCAGAGCCAGCCAGAGTCTGAGGAATTCAAGTGTTGTACTTGTAAGCTCTTGTCAAAGGATCTTCCCTCAGTAAAATCAGATACTATCAAGTAATTGAACTGTTTCTCAAGATTTCTAATCTAAACGGACTCCTGAAGCGCTCTTGGCATTTGACTTTGCAAAATGTCATGTTCTACTCGTTTTTTGTTTGACTTCCTGAAATCTCCGTTTTCAGAGGCTGCAATTTGGGTTTGATCTCTGCTCAAAACCACTGTTTAAATGAAGGGCCTTAAATTATTGAAATTGTGGGAGGAAAGCATTTTATATTCTCTTTAGGCATGTGTTCAACTGAACCTATATCAGATTTAAAATGGAATCATCTTGACACAAATGAGGCGACCCTCTTGAGTGTGTGTATTTCACTGCTGGCAGAAATAGCCATGGCACATTTGGGGGCAATTGGTTTTTTTTTTAGGTGCTAGAATTAATAATCTTCTGTCATACTGAATATCTTGATCTGTGTTGCCTCTTTAGCTGCTCTGATCTTTGACAATTTTTTTTTTTTATTTAACTTCAGAAGGGCTTGGTTGTGTTTCTTACCTCACTGTCATGAACTCATTTTCTGAACTATAAGTAGTGTTTGATGTGAGGTAACTGCTCTAAAATCCAACTGTCTGGTTGGCTGCAGCTGAGCTTGATGATCTTGGTGTAGGAAATAGGTGGGGGTAGGTGTCAGTTTGTAGAATCATAGAATTGTTTAGGTTGGAAAAGATCTCCAAGATTGAGTTCCACTGTTTCCCCAGCACTGCCAAATCCACCACTAAACCATGCCCCTTTGGACAAGTCTTATGGACATTTGCCTCTTGCAAATGCCTCTTGCATTTTAAACGTATCCATTGTCTTACACAGGAGTTTTAGCAAATTCACAGTCACCTAATAAAGGCTCAAAAACTAAACCTCTTTAAAGAGAAACAGATCCAGAATATAAGATGTGGGGGGTTTAACCCTTAGTCTGGCATTCTTCCACGATGTAGCAGATGCCCAGACTTGCAGGCTGTTTGCTATGTGGCGTTTGGCATTTTCACCCCAAATTCCCCATGGAAAAGGAGAACTTCGTAGCACCAACTTCGCTCTGAGAAGCTGCTTAGGACAAATTGGTGCTGCTGTGCTGAAGGAGGAGCTCCTGAAAGATTGTATTTAATTCTGGCTGTTCTGTGAGTGCAGGGCTGACAGATGCCCTGATCGTGAAGAGCATATTAAGTCACTGTAGTTGAGGATGGGTTGTATGTGTGGGGATGGAGAGGGAAGTAGCTGTAGTTATTCCTCTGTATCAGGCACTATTTGGTCTTTTGAATCAATTCAAGGCAACTGTCTTGAGACCACCTTAAAGACAATCTACCCACCAGCCTTCCTCTGAAGGTCCGGTGAGCTGGTTTTGCTAGTGCTTGGGAAGGAATCATGGTCTGTGGGATGGCACAGTTTGGAAGCACTTGAGCCCTACAGACCCAACTGCAAGCAAGAAGGACATGGGCTCCTCAAACACTTCATACTGGTGCTTTTTCTCCCCATTGCCCCCATGGCAAAGCTGCCTGCTGGTGATGTTTTATCCTGCAAAATTCCCCTTCGTGTGTGCTGAGCCAAAACCTGCAGCCAGTTTAGAAGGCTGCAACCTTTTTGTAAGTTTGTGTTTGCTGCAGGCTGAGCTGCTAAGACTTACTGCAGGCCTGGAAGTTCAAGTACACAAGTAAAAGAGTACCCTGGAGGATTTTCTGTGCCTGTGCTTGTTGCCCAAGCAGGGAAGCTGTTCCAGATGGTTGTATCTTGCACAGCTCTCCTGAGATCCGATCATGTGGCTGATGCTGCCGTGAGGTCAGTGTGTCAAATTGGGAAGGAGGTGGGGGGGGCAAGGAGGCTTGCATGAGGATGATCAGACTCTCCTCCCTCAAGCTTTCATCATGAAGGGGGTTCTCCCTGACTGGCACCAGGGTAAATGCAGTTGGCATCAGCTAGAGGTGAGTGTTCACCTTCCAAGCTGGCGTCAGGAGTGGCAGTGGGGTTCTTGGCATCTCAAATGTCCCTGTCCTTCGTGAATTGTCTAATGCCCTGTTGTGAAACCAAGGTGGAGCCAGGAGGAATGAGAAACCAACCACAACCTGTGCTTTCAGCTGGAGCTGCAGCACAGGTTCAGCACTGCCCTTCCCATCCCCTCCTGTTTGTGTGCCTGGGCAGCAGCGCTCTCCTTGCTCTCCTACCTCTGTTGGGATTGTATCCTGGTAACATCGCTCGTGGTGAGGTGCAGAAAACTCCCTGCAGTCCTTTGAGGGCTGTAGCTCTGGAAATTATGAACAAAACTCACCCCCAGGTACAGTTCTATGTCAGAAAAACCTTATATGCAGCTGTTCCCTGGAGTACATGTGTTCTTGATAGTGTTGTTTGTCTTGACCTCTTTATCGCTGCTTTTGTGAGATTTCAAGTAGTTTCTACTTAATTTGATACAAAAGAAAAGTGTTGATATAAAGTGCTGGACCTAGTTAGTGTTTGTTTTACAAATGGGTACTTAAGGTTTAAAAGGTGATCTGATTGATTGCTTTGGGAATTAAATCTGGGCCATGTTTCCACCAAGGCAATTTTTGCTTGTACGTGACAATAAAGGAGTACATTACCTGTTCCTGGGTAAGATGGTGTGAGACTTAGAAAGGCAAAGCTTGTGTGGCTGCTGCGTGCTGCTTCTGTAAACAGTCTTTTGTCCCTTTCCTTCTAGAGGAATGGTGATGTACCTACTTGTGGTTCAACAAAATCCTTCTCTGGAAAAAGAGGTAATTAATAAAATGCAGAGCTTAACTTCAATAATAAAGTATAAACCAATTGAAATGTAAAATACAACCAGTATTTATGGTTTCTTGGGACTGATTTTCTACTCTTTCTGTGTAGTAAAACTTCCATACTATAAAAGTAATAAACTTTAGCTGTTCTGTGTTATCTTGAAGTTGGCAGTCATATGGTACAGTAGCATGATAGGTGATCCTTGTCTGTCACAGAAAGGCTCATAATGAGCTTGCTGAGGGGTTTCTATGTATCTTAATAGTCAAACTTCAGCAAATATTGTCCATATTTAGAAGGAGAAGGTGAGATCAAACAGAATCAATAGCAAACCTGTAGATCAGGTTGCAACATTTCATCACTGCCTTTATTTTATACTCGTGTAAACTGTTGTGCTTCCTGGTCAGAGTTTTTTGTAGACACAGCCATGCTGTAATTCACCACTTCTTTTCTGAGCTGAAATGTTCTGTTTGGTTTCCGCTTGAGTGTGACAGAGGGAGAGGTTGCTGTAGCCAGGATCCCTCAGCTGTACTGAGGAAAGGCTATGCCTTCACTTGAGTTTGAATGACACAACAACCAAGTAAACACAAAGCACAGCCAAGACAAATTCTAACTTAAAAGTTCTTTAGATTTTTAAAAGTTGTTTTTTTAAATTCTAGTTAAAGCTCTTTAAGTTCAGTTATACCAAAATCAATTAAACAGGCAGGATTGTCTTAAGTGACTGGTTTCATGTTTCTGAGATGACCACATTAACATTTTTTGCTGGTGGTCTGGAAATACAAAGGAACGCAGGAAAATACCGTGTTGGTTTAGAGGCAGAGCAGGTTGCTGAGGTGAGGGTGGGTGACTGACGTTGCTCTTCCTTGTGCTGCCATTGTGTTGCAATGCCTGTGGGTTTGGCCTTCAGCTTCTGCATTTGATATGATTTATGTACATGACTTTCTGAAAGCTGGAGTCCCTGGAAGGTTGCTGTGCCCTGGAGATGTCTTTGGGGACGGAAAGGGCAGCTCTTTGGCCCCTTCCCAACATTTTGAGCTGATAATCCAGCCTCATACTGTGGGAGAAAGTCTAGGGCATTTGTTGGGGCAGAAAGCCCAAAGTGCTGTAAAATCAAATTTTACCTCCTGAGGAGTTTTGCTGTGGGCTCTGGGAAGGCACCTTCCCCAGCCTTTCAGTGACCTGCCCTGTGTTTCAGGGGCACTGCTGTCCCACAGAGTTGGGCAGGGGCTTGTCTTTTTCCACCCTTGTGCATCCAAATCCACTAGATGAGCTCCAACAGAGATGTGGTGTTTGTACCATTTGATCTCGGTGCTCTGTAACAGCAGCACGGGTTCTTCCATACTGCAAGCAGCAAAATTCTCTGTGAGGAGGTGTTTACTGTTGGAGTTTGGCTGCTTAAACTCAACTATCAACCCCTAAACCCCAGCAGCCTGCACTAGTCCCACGTGCAGAGCCCCCTAAACATCAGCCTCATGTTTCTGCACTGTTCCCCTCTGAAACACCCCAAACCCACTCTCAGCCCTGCTGGATCCTTTCCCAGCCCCTCACCTCTTGCTCTTGCCTCCCAACAGAGCCCTGCCATCCATGTGGTGCTTGCACTGGCTGCACACGGAGACGTGTCTGCATCTCTGCCATGGCACTGCTCGTCGTGGTGGCTGCTGTGGGCTTGGGGGTGGCACTGGGACTCCTGCCACGGGCACCAGGTTGTATTCCAAGAGTCGTTATTTTCTTGGTAAGGGAGGCAGAAATGATGCTGCATGAGAACAGCCCTCATGTCCATCACCATGTGTGAAAGTGATGCTTTCCAGCGCAGACCAGGAGGAAGGAAAGGGATGAGCAGGGTGGTTTGGGGCTGTGTAAGCCTTGCACAGCCCCAGTAGCCCCCAGCCATTCCTCAGCTCCACTGTCCTGTTCCGCAGGGCTGGGATAACTCTGGGTGGCACCATCATCCTTCAGACTATTGATTGGTATGGTCTTCACACTCTGCCATGAACCTGCCAGAGATTAATCCTGGCCCCTGGCTATTACCAGAACAACAAATGAGTTTCAGAAATCCCCCTTTATTCCCCCTGATCTGTTCCTCGTATCTTAAAAATGCTGGAAAGTAAAGGATTTCTTGCTTTCCCCTCAGTGAACCGCTTCTGCACAGCCCCCAGTAACCGGACAGGCTTCTTGTGTGATGACAGAGTGACCTGCATCCCATCCAGTTGGGTCTGTGACAGAGTCAGCAACTGCAGGAATGGAGAGGATGAGCAGGAGAAGCTCTGTGGTGAGTGGTTTTGTTGTGACCATCCCCCCTGCACTAGTCATCCTGTTGTGAGACAGAGCAGCTGGTGTTCCTCTAATCCTGTTCTGTGCTTCTGAGCAGATAAGCCTGGTAGATCCTTTGTAGGGCAGATACTGAGAGATGGCACTGCCCAAAACCCAGTGGGCGTGCCAGGAATCAAAGTCTCCAAGCTCCTCTGATCTTCCTAGGGTTTTTTTAAAACCATGATGCAGCTTTACCACTGGTAAAGCTTTATGCCTACATGGGTAATTTATTGTCCTGTCACCCTGGGAAAAAACTGATTAAAGCAGAAGCCTGGGGCACTCAGACTCTGCTTCTGGCTCAGCCACAAGCATCCCTTCCCCTCTCCAACCACAGCTTCCCTATCTATGGCATCGTTCCTGCCCTGACACTGCATAGGGAAGGACTGACTGACCCCCTGTGACAGCAGCCTTTGGTGGCTGCCATCTCCCTTTTAGCCAGTGTCTGTGCCCAGTGGAGTTATGCATGTCCTGTGTGTCCACCCTGGCAGGTGACTTACCCCACAGCCTCCCAGGATACCTGGTTTTCCTCTGCAGTAACCCCAGATCCTGGATCTATGCCGATCAGAGGTGTAACGGGATGAACGACTGCGGAGACTGCTCTGACGAGTCGGGGAGCTGTAAGTCTCTCTTCTTGGGCAACAGGTCTATTCTGCTGATGGATTGCAGTAGGTTGTATAGGCGTGGTGCTCATGGATGCTGCTGGGAATGCCTGGAGGCCGGCATCCTCCACTAAAGCACAAAATAGCTGGGATAAGATGTGAGTATGAACCAGGCAGGTTGCATCCTACCAGCTGCCAAGGGTTCTGTATCAAAGCCTGGTGGCAGCCGAGGTGGCAAAGGCTCCATGATTTGCTCCCAGACCCAAAAGTTGCTCCTCCTTCATGGCTTGCTGATGTGGAGCAGTTTCACAGTGATGCACAGGCAGTGACCATTCCAGCTGGCTTTTGGTAGTTGGTCAGGAGATGGGCACATCTCTGAGCTGGGAAGGGCTGAGCCTCAGCAGCTTCAAAGCCATCTAGATCCCCCTCTTGCTGAAACAAACCTGAGCAGCAGGTTTGTTCCTAAGTCACCTCCCTTGTTTCGAACAACAACAAAAAAAAAGAATTACAGCTCATTGTTCCTCCCAGGATGGCCTGTCTGCCGTGAAGGTCATCACAATGTCACACTCCATGGTTGTCCCCCACAAGTAGCACAAAGCTGGTGTCTTCTTTGGTGGGTTCACAGTCACAGGGTCATCACCAGTGCCTTTTCTGCTGGGGGGTGAAAGGGTTTTACCTGTGTAAGAAAGGAGGGAAGGGGTCAGTGCAGCAGAAGCAATTCAGCATTTCATTTGCCTGTTTTCCATCTTTCCCAGTGGCCTCCTGTCCCCCATGTGGGTGGGAGTGGTGGAGCTGCATCCCTGTGCGCTATGAGTACTGCTCCTGCATCCCCAGGAGGCTGTGCCGGGATGGCGTCCAGGACTGCCTTGGCTGGTCAGACGAGTACGTCTGCAGGCCATGAAGTCCTGGCACCCCTCAGTGCTGGAGACAGCAGGGTGCTTCCCACACTGTCACCTCTGAGCCTTGCTGTCCTCCTGCTCTGCCACCCACTTGGGAAGCTCCAATCCAAGCAAATCCTCAGGAGCAGTGCAGTGACACTGAACAGGGACCAAGGGCACATGGCAGCCCACGCTGCAGGCTGGGTACTGACTGTGGGACACCTCCAAGGATTCTCCTGTCATGTGAAGATGAGCACTTTCTACATGGGCTTCTGCTGCCTTGCACTCGATGCTGTGCAGCTCCTGGGACTCTTCATCGGCTGCTGCCAGCACAGACACGGTGTCTGGGCAGCCCTGGGCCAGGGGGTTCTCCTGTGTGGACATGCTGCTGCCTCTGCAGGCACAGGCAGGAGGAGAAGCTTCTATTTGCATTCAAAACACATCTGCAGATGGTTTCAGCAGTGGCTTTGAGGTCCATGCTCAGGTGCTCCTGGGACACTTCCTTGGGAATGCTGTGCTGAGGATGACACCCTGGGGAGCTGCTGCTCAGGCCACCTCCTGCTCTCTTCTCAAACCATGAAAGCCAATGTGGAGAGCATAATGGCAGGGAAAACTGAGGTAAAGAGGTTTCAGGGTTTGTGGGGATAAATCACTGTCCCTGTGCCCATGTAGCTGTCCCTGCAAGCCAGGAAAGGGAACCGGCATGTGGATAAACTTTACTTCTCTCAGGGCTGTGCAGTTTTGGAGCAGCAGCGTAGCAGGTTGAGAACAGCCATGGAGCTGGGATATGTTTCACCAAAATTGACAAAGAAGGGAGGAAAAAGAAGTCACAGCCTCAGAGCAGAGAGTGGCAGAAAACCAAGTGCTGCTCCCAGGGCGGTGTGGGATGACACCGGATCCGACTGCTGCTTGTTTTGTTCCTCTGCCAGCACTGCAGGATCAGGCAGCCAAGCCTTCACAGCAGGCCTCAGGATATAGGTATGGGCATGACACTGAAATTTAAGAAAAATGTGGTCTTCTCTGCTCCTTTGAAAATCTCATCTGTCTCTAAAACATAGTCTCTGAGAAAAACCCACATTTACAGTGAGTGCACTTACTTTCTTAGGCCCAAAATAAACATCAGGCGATCTTTTTCCCATCACCACCCTAGGTCACAGATATTTAAAAATAAAACCCTGTTCACTCATTTCCTCTCTGTCCTGTGATCTGCAACTCTGCATGTCACCATAACTCGGATCAATGGTGAAAGTTGCTTCTCATTTGTCACTGGGATAAAGCTGGAGATCTGAGAGATCTTTTATAAATAGCTTTACAGTATTGTGACTCATACTTAACCTGGAATGAGATGGCAAAACTCTGCAGGGGGAGATTTTAAAGCTGCATTTACTAACCTGTCCCTCTCTAGGCCTGGCCAGGGTGGATGGCTTGTTTTCTCTGTGCCTGTAAAACGTTACCCCAGTGCATTCAGTGCTGTGGCTCCAAAGAGAGGTTTGGGGCTTCCAGCCTCAATCAAAGCCTGCAGTGGAGGTGCACATATTTACTGGAGAGTCACAAACACCTAATGCCTCAAGAAGCCTGGGTTTGGGTTGGTAAATAAAGTTGGGCTTATTGTAGTTGCTGTTGTTCCTTGTTACCCCAAAGTATGTTCTGAAGCAACCACTGGGGAAGCCTTGCAGCATCTCTTAAGGAGAGCTCAAGGAGGGGTGATTCAGAGGCAGCACTACAGGGACAGCCTCTTCTTCCCAGAGAAGAGGAGCTTTTTTCCCAGGAGGGAGAGAAAAAACCCCTAATGATGGGAACTGTATATGGATTGCGGAACAACTGTAGTTATTAAGGATTGAACTAACCAGCTGATAAAAAAAAATACAATAACCCTTGTGCTCAGCTGGTAAAAACAATTGTGCCTCTCTCCATGGTCAGATTAGCAGATCTCCAGTGGTGAGAGTGCAGGCCAAAAATTTCATGGTGGCCATTGTACCAGAGGCAGCTTCAGGAAGAGGATTGCACTTGAGCACCACAGCCATCTTCCTCCCTCCTGCTTTGAGTCACAGTCTGTGCCATTGCTTGTCTCAGCAGAGCGCTGATGTAGCCGTCGGTGGGAGCTATTAATAGCCTTGAATTTCTGTGAAGAAAAAAGTAGGGTTTGAATGCAAGTGTGCCTGTTTCATTTGTGTGTAGTCCTTTTTTTGTATATAATCGCTTTTTGAGGAAAATTCAGCAATAAGAACAAAGAGAGAAAGGGGTTTTGCTCTTTACGTATTTTTGAGGCGAAGTTCCTTTTCTTGGCCTCTTCATGATTTCCAAGGATGCGCTGATTTTTTGTTGTTGAATTATGGTAAACAACAGTGTAAAAGTAAGATATCCTCTAAATAGGCACTAGTAGAGGAAACCTGGCGTAAGTTCTTGGCCTTGTAAGGCCTAAGAGCACAATGATGGTTGCAGTGCCCAACTCACGGGCACTGTGCACCTCATCCGGTTTTGACAGAAACACTCAGGGCAGGAATTTAATGATAAACACAGTTACCTGTGGCAGACCAACACAGAATGGGTCTAAGTATCTAGGGGGTTTACAGCTAATATGTATAATTCATATTGGAATTATAAATGTCCCTGAATGTTTTCAGATGGAGAAGTATGGTTAGTGTATTGCAGGCACACTCCATGTGTTTTAAACCACAGAATGCTCTCAAATGTAGTGAATTTGGTTGTAAGAGAGAATCTATTACAGCTTCAAGGCCTAATCTCTACAGTTCCAGCTTTCATTTCCTGGGCTAAAATGAGAAAGGAAGAGGACTTCTGTTGTATTTTGGGCTTCTGCAGTAACTGTTATCAAGGGGTTACAGCATCTGACCCCTCTGCAGAGGCCTGTGCTTACCCTCTCTGCTCCCTCCCTCCGTCACAGCTCCACCAGCACAGCCTGGTGCTTTCAGGCTGAGGTTTCTGTTCTAGAAGCAGTATTAATTCCCCAGGGCTCTTGACAAGCATAGATGAGCTGCAGTGATCTGTCTCCTGTCCCTTGGGAGGCAGGAGAGGAGCAGGGATAGGACCAGCTGTTTTCATGAATAATACCTATGTCAGAAGAATTGGTTAAGGATGACAACAAAACCTTTATTTGAAAAAATTATTATGTATTGAAAATATACAGTAGTATCACCAACCTTCTTGTCTCTACCCCTCCCCAAGCACAGGTTAACCCACAAGCATGGCACAGCAACCAGATTTAACAGTACTGGTCTTCTTTGTTACTCCCTCTCAATATGTCTAAATCCTGTCATCAGCAAGAAAACAACAAACAAAAGACCCACTTCTCTCTGACTCAGTAGGTATTTAACAAATCCCAGTCCTCCACAGTGAGGCACAGATGCTTCTGTTTGGAAGTCCTTTCTCTCTCTTGTTCAGCCAAAGCTCTTTTTCTATTGTTCTTTAATTCGTGGCTTCCCGCAACCTCCTTTTTCAAAGGTAAATGGCAATTTTGAACTTTTTCCTTATAAAACTGCAAGTTTCCAGATGCTTTTGTTTCTGCTTCCACCACTGTGCATTTGACTACTTCCTCTATTCTGCGTGTCTTGCCATCTACAAGGAAAAAAAAAAAACAATCAAATTTAGATTTTGGGGAAAAAAAGAATTATGCTGTAAAATGCATGTTTTGATGCTAAGAGTTTTGGCCAAGCCAACCTGGAATATTGACTGCTGAAATGTGCAGAGGGAAAAATAACATATTTTGGACTCAGGATTTTAAGGGGAAAACTCAGTTGTGATATGTTGCCCTAAGCATGCTGCCATGCTGTACTTGAATTACCCAGCAGTCTAACAAATGAAAAAACTCAAGCAGGTTGTAATGCAGTTACACAAATGGAAATGGCTGAAATTGCACACCCAAGATGCTATTTGTACTAAAAAAAAAAAAAAAAAAGAAAATATGGAAATATTCCTTGTAGAAAAGGAAACAAATCCACTCTGTGGTTCCCATGCAGTGACTTACAGAAGCGCAGAGCTGCTGTTCTGGATCTCAGGTTGTCCTGTGGCTTGATGGCTTCCATAACTGCCTGCTCCCATTGCAGAACTGTCTGAAATAACATTGGAAGGAGTTAAAATGTTTCTTGTAAATTTTACAGAAATACCATTGGAAACGACTCCATTCTCTATTCTTTCCTATTCAGCGATTTCGTACTCTGTAAGGCAAATTTCTAGAGAGTAAAACAGAAGACCCCCCCTTACCTGTTCTGCCCATCCCTCTGTTTTGCAGTTACTATGATCAAATTCTTTCAGAGGCACTTTTGAGTGGACGAGGCCTATCTGCATTTGGATCCGCTTAATAACAGCATCAACATCCTGGGGAAAAGGAAATAAAGCAGTCAGAGGGCAAGAACATTTATTACACTTGTCCAGTAAACTAAGGTAGATGCTTTTTTACCTTGAGACCTGTGCCAGAAATGTCCAAACAATTCAATTTCTTGAAAGAAAGAAGATATCCAATTCCCACATCTGTGATTTTAGGGTTACCTGTAAGGTCAAGTAAAGTTAACTAAGTTACATGATGTGGAAAAAGACGATCAGGATGCCAAGAAAGTATTTGTTCCAAAAGCTAATACTGAAACTAAGGGGGTTGGCCTTTTTTTTTTTTCAGTATGTTTCAAGTCAAAGACTGACTTTTCCCCTCCAATGATTGCAATACAAATATTTACAATACCAAGTCTCAACCTATCAAAAATATTTATGCAAGTAGCAAGTGGCTGAGACTCCAGGTTTGGCCCGTGCCTTCTGGAAAGTTGTTAGTGAAATCTGGGCTTGAGTACTTGGCTCATGGGAACCAACAAATGAATTGTGTTCCTTCAATACTGAGGAAGGTAAATTCTGTATCAGAAGGGATACAGGTTGCTTCTAATGTGAAACCACGAGGCACTTACAAGACAGGTCTAACACCAGCAGATTCTCCAGCCCCTTTTTGAGCACACGGATGGGCGCCGTCATCCTGCGAAGGCCGGCGTCGGACAGGGAGTTGTCTTTCAGGAGAAGCTGTTTTACACTGGCAGGGGAGGTACAAACATTTAGTTTATGGTCAATATTTTAGATAAATTTGCAAAATGTCCTAAAACTCTGTGTCATCCTGTGCCAACCCTTCGGTCTGCTTTGTTAACGTTAGTAAAGAGCAGTAAGAAAGGAGCCTGGGTTAGTGGGACTAACAAATATCCCTCTATTGCCCCTGCTGGCTCAACAGAAGCACTACTTGAGCAGCTATTCCCAGAGCTCCAGTGACAGACTGATCCTAGAGCCAAATATTTGCTAACAGAGACAATAAGGTTCTTTATACCCTGAAGTTCTTTAAACCAAGGCTTCCAAACTCAAATGCACTCAAAACTAAGAAAA